CTCTCTTTCTCCTTAAATATATGAAGATAAACATATGAATATATTTATATATGTATACTAACATATTTGTTCTACATGTATGTGTGTATGTACACACACACATAGACACACACACACATACACACACACACGCACGCACGCACGCACGCACGCCACACACCACACACACAACACACACACACACACACACACACACACACACACACACACACACACACACACACACACACACACACACACTTCTCTCTCTCTCTCTCTCCTTTCTCTCTCTCTCTCTTTCCCTATTTTCTCTCTCTCTCCACTTTCCCTATTCTCTCTCTCTCTCTCATTTCTCTCTCTCTCTCTCATCTCTCTATCTCTCCTTTCTATAATATATGAAGATAAACATATGAATACATTTATATATGCATACTAACATATTTGTTCTACATGTATGTGTGTATGTACACACACACATAGACACACACAAACACATACACACACACGCACGCACGCACGCACACACACACACACACACACACACACCACACACACACACACACACACACACATATATATATAATATATATATATATATATATATATATATATATATATATATATAATTATATATATATATATATATATATATATATAAGCTTGTTGACATGATAATGAATGCGCAACAAAAAAAAAACATGATAACGGAGAGGAAGAGAAATCGGATGACCCCCTTCAAAAAATTTAAAGATACAATTGCCAAGAAAGACCGAAATAGAAGAACTGTGTAAGATGGTCCTAAGTGCCTACGTGACAATTAATCGGCTGAGCGATCGTGTCTCTACACTAGAGGAACAAGTGACTCATGGAAAACGGAACCCCGCCACTACTAGCCCAGTAATACCCGAGTTCCCCCTTCGAACGCCCGAGAAAACGAACCTGCGTGACGTTAAGACTGCGGATCTCGCGGAGGACTGCTCCATCAGGACCATCCATGGAGCGACCATGGACCTTACGCGGTGACGGATTAACGAAAAATTGGAATGGACTAAATTATAGGAATGGAGCTCGAATAACGGAATCACAATAATGTCAACCCAACTAAACAGATAAAAACCAGTCGGGTGTCAAGTATATTTGCAAATGCTGGGAGGAAGGGAATTGCTCCTCCCACTGCGGGCTGTGGGAGGGCGACTGACGGGACGCAGGACGGGAGCGAGAACTACTCGTCCCACCCGCATTCCGGCAATCGCCAGCCTGGAGTGAAACTTATGGGGAAAAGCCTTCGGGACCCCCTAGGCAGATGAAGGGTCCCACAGCCTACCGCCCCCTTTTATATTGATGGCTAGCCTTACATGACATGTCGCATAAAAACGCACACAAACGAAAGGTAGACCTGAACCTCGATCTTCTTAACCATGGCCCTATTGATATGAAAGCATATCAGTATTAAAGCTTAAACTTTATATTGCTATCTATGGTAGTAGTGTAGATATTTATTATATTTCTGTTGCTAGAGCAGGACGATCTAGTAAAAACGTTCATATTTGTGTGTGTGTGTTTATATATATGTATATACATATACATACATGCATGCATGTATATATATAAATATATATATATATATATATATATATATATATATATATATATATATATATATATGCATGTATGTATACATGTTTAAATATACATATGTGTATACTGTATATATATATATATGTATACATGTACACATTGCTGTATACATATATATATATATATATATATATATATATATATATATATATAATGTACACACACGCGCACGCTCGTAAATACATTTAAACTAGTACTTAGTGCAATTATATCCTCATTGACATTATCAACGTTACTAATATTGCACCATACAGTGTAGCATCAAATTTGAACTTCCTATTTTCTTCCAGTTTTAAAACAATCAAAGGTGCTCCGCGCACTCATCAGCCAGGTTCAGTTGTTTATATATGATTCCACCCCCATGAATAGGGGCGGAGTCAGAGGACACAGTTATTGATGCTGGAAAGTCATGGTATTACAGTTGTTGACGCCGGAAAAAAGGCTTAACGTCAACATTTGAAAACATGGAGTTGAGTTGCCATTAACTTTTATTCTTCTTAATAACGATGCAAGTTGCGACATTTTCATGTCAAAGATGTTTGTGGAATTTCATCAATATGTATTCTAATAGGTTGTGGGATATTCAAACTGTAGATACAACAGTGAAAAAAAAAAAAAAAAAAATCCCGTTCAGAATTCTAGAGTTTGTAGACACAGAAAAGGCAGCATTATTTCCAGGTTGGGAAAACATTCCCATATTTTATTTCTTATTTATTTATTTTCTTATATCTTTTTGTTTGGGGGGGAGGGTTGTTACCTTGTTATTTTTTCTACAATTTTTAAAGGTTATTTGAAGCCAGTTATATATCTCACTTGTACTGACACAGATGTAATTGTCTTTATGATTTAATGCTACCTTGTATCAGGGTTACCTCTTGTTACCGCAAATTATGCGAATGGGATACTATAGCCATAATTTCGGCACTGACTGGAGTTAGTAATAAATGATTGCCTGTATATCATGATGTAAGAATTTATATAGAGTTGTAATACAAGTAATACAGACGTAAAATTTAACTGAAGTGCATCATCACATTCGCATGGTATGTACTAATAGTATATGTGCATTTTTTTCTGGAGTAAAGGTCTTGTTATCAACATAACCGTATATGAAATTCATTGTGGCCGACTGCCAATTATTACACAAATACCAATTAGTGAATACAATAGTTATATATGACACTTGACATTCCGATAGACGGGTTTGACACCATCTTTCCCGAAACATTGACTATGAATATGGCTACAAATTGTAATCAAGCCAGCATGAAACATACCACGCTACTCCCGGAGAAGCCACCAGGGAAGGGGTTTGCCTGAGCAGTGTGGGAGCATGGCACCATTCCTTTGGGAAGGAGCCCGCTCCAGCATTTTGATACGGTTGTAAGAGTGTATTAACATAAAATTATTTGTAACATATTTTATTTCTGTTTTATTTAATACGCCACCCTTCTGTACAGTCATTTAAGGCATGTGGCATTTACTGGAATTACTTGCACCTATCCCCACCGGCACAGTCTGTGAGCCTTAGGCGCAGTCTCCCCGCCCCTGTCAGCTACCCATAGAACAACTTTCCAATACATACTAGATTATTCGTACATATACTGGTTTATTTAGTATTTACAGAAACATTATAATTATTATGAATGCATTCATAAATAAAAGGAAATCCCATTCAAACCGCATGTATTATGCGAATGTAAACAAACGCAGAGCCGCTCCTACTGTGATGCTGTCCACTGAAAACAGGGTGTACCTGGGCCATTGCAGGTTTAATTTGCAGGACCGGTGCTAAACCAACCATGCCACACGACCAGGGTGTACCTGGTATAAGTGCCGGTAGCGATTTATACTCACACACACATATATATAAAACACTCATATAAATATGCCTGTATATATATAACATATATATATCCATATCACTGAGCTCCATATCCCACGGTTCTAGGCTTTCCAATGACTCCCGGACCTCTCAACTAATTTCAGCCTTACCACACCCTACCCCTCTCCTTCCTTTTCCCTTCCCTTATCCAACCGCCCCCCCTCTTCTTCATCTATGTACTGATTTAAGGGGATCGATTGTTTTTGTTCTTGTTTTTCAATTTTTCTTGCCGAATTTGATGAAACTGACCCTTTTATATAGACCCTAGCCTAACCTCTGGCATTTTTTTTCGAAATCGCCAGAACAGTTTTTGAGTTATAGTAAACAAACAAAAAAAAAAAAAATCACCGAAAAAAATTGTCAATTTCTAAATTAATAATAATAATAATAATAATAATAAATAAATAAATAAATAATCACAAAAAAATGCACACTCAATCTGATTGTTTTATTTTACAAAATCATCCTTTATCTTGGGAACGCTGGGAGCACTTTTTTTCAATTTCGACTTGCCAGCATGTAACGGTTTCTCAAAATCTTTTGTATAGTGTAGCAGGGTGGCAGTAATTTTTTGTGTCTATAGGCGTACATTGACCATTTTTGAAAATTCATTTAAAATCCAAGAGAACGGAAGTAAAATATAAACAAAAGGTCATGTGGTACACGAAAATTATCTATAAGGGCTTACATACCTTATATACATACTTGTAAAAGTATGTAATAGAGTCCTCAAGGCATTACGTCACGTTTCCATGGAAACCAATTTTCAGATCTAAACAAACTTGTACCGACATGGCGCTGTCTATATTGAGCCTCTTAAATTTCTTCAAAAATGAAACCAGATCAATCTCTCGGGGAGAGAACCACTACAAATCAAATCATATTGATAATTTTACATATATACCTGGTGTACTTAGAGACAAAGTCCAAGCAAGCATGAAGAAGGTGTATGATGTAACGGTGAGTACTGTTTTCTTTTCTTTCACTGACTAAGGTATGTAAAACCCGAGAAAATAACCATAGTTCGTATCAAATCTTGAAAATATATTTAATAATTGATTGAACAGAAAAATATTGTAATTTTTCAATGTTATTCCGATAACGCTATTTGTTTTTATGTAAAAGTACTCTAGGCCTATCAAAAAATTGGACTGCGGAATGCATTGAGATAAATCACAAAACGTAGGTCTGCTCAAATGTTTTTAAACAAATAGGGTACCGGAAAATACAATTATTCGTAACAAAGAAATTTGAATTGAATATGGAAAGCGATTAATAACATTAATTTTCTTGTCAGATCTACCTTGATGAGGAGAAAGAGATAACATCTACGTAGTGTGAATGCCCCAGAGGAGCTTTTAAGTGTAGCTATGCTGCTGCACTGTTTATATATGGCATTCACATGTGTTACTGACACAGAATGTACATGGAAGAAAAGAAAGGTGGACGATGTACAGCAAAAGGCGATTGCTGATGTACCCTGGGAACAATCCGGGATCCAAGGGTTTGACACGGTTGCCAAATGATAATGATAGAGCCTCATTATATGGTGCATTACAGAAATATGGAAAGTTTACAGAACTTTGTTGGTTAATGAGTCCCGAGCCAAAAATACAAGAGACATTACCACTCCCCATCATTAATGATGTTCTACTGTCTCCTGAATTCCTTGCCATTGATACATATATAGGACAAATCTCCTATTTGAAATCCAAGATGAAAATGGACAAGCATTCAATATCACAAATAGCATTATTTGCTACTGGTCAAAGAGAAAACCCTACATGGCAGATTTTAAGAAAGGGGAGATTGACATCCAGTAGGTTTGGACAAGTTTTGCAGGCCAAGAGGGTTACTCCATCTCTGATGAAAAGACTGCTCAATCAATACAATCAATCTTCTGTTAAGTCTGTTATGTGGGGTGTTACAAATGAGGCTACAACAGTTAAAGAATTTCAAGAATCAAGTAAATTCCAGGTCAATCAAACAGGGTTATGGCTTGATGAATCTGGTATATTGGGTACATCTCCTGATGGACTTAATGGGGATGATTGTGTTCTTGAATGTAAATGTCCATTTACACAGAGGGACAAATCATTGGAAGATAGACAAATCATTTTATTTAGTCAGAAGTCAAAGTGGAATCTCTTAAAGGAAGGATCATACCTACTGGCATCAAGTTGAAGGACAGCTTTATATTACAAATAGGAGTCTGTGCTATTTTGTGGTTTGGACAAGGAAACGGAAAATTATTACTGAAATTCCAAGAGAAGTTTCTTGGGGAGATTATATTTCAAAATTTAAGGATTTTTATTTTTCTCATTTGCTTAAACAAATGATTGATGGTGGACAGTAAGCAATTTGTCTTTTATTTTGTTCACACAGACAACAGTAACTTGCTCAAGTATATGTGTATACAATCCCAGGCCTCTGTTATGAATGTGTATTTACAATAAAAAAAAAACAGTTCTCCATTATCAGTTCATTTAAAATTCATTCAAATATGTGTTCTTGCATCTTTCTTTAATAAGTGGGAATTGCAAATTTACTAGTGCTGCACAAAGCTGTATAAGTTTTTCTGCATGACCTCAGATAAGGTGGATGAGTCAATATCCAACAATCCTTGAGTCTAGCATTTGCTCTTTCTACATGGATCCTGCAAGAAGCAATTTTCACTGCATTTTCACTGTCTTCCATGTTCTATGGAAGACCAAGTGAAAATGGTGGGATGTTTACAGACACACCTGGTGGAACTATATCTTGAAACAGAAACCCTTTATCTGCAATGATGAGGTCACCAGCTTCGATGTGTTTAAGACCAGACTTCTTTACAATTTCTTCTTCAGAAACAGAACTGCACTTACAAATGTTATAACTGCATTTGGAGCTACACCAATAATCACTTTGAATGAGTTCATACCTCTGTATGTAGAATATGTTGCCATCTGCTCACTCATCAAGGATGGTTTAGCAACTTCTATGTCTGTACAGTCAATAATGATTCTACTTGTGTATTGGGAAAAGGGCTTTGGTAAACAAGTTGCATTTTTTAACCGTGAAGGTATAAATGTCATTTTTAAACAAGGATGGTATGCAAAACATGTAGGAAAGTAATATCAATATTGGTGATGGTACTGACACTGCATGAAAATATTTGGGCTAAATGCAGATTGGTATAGTTCTGTTTTCTTTTCATCAGTGTTATGAATATTTGATCTACTGTAATGCACTTCACTTCCCATCCATAGTAGTAGACTATGGCATCTTTGAATCCTGAAGCATATTCTGTGATAACATTGAACACTCCCTTTGTTGGTGGGCCTGTTTCCATTCTCTATGTATCTTCATTTATATTGGAAACTGTGTAGCAAAACTTTTGATACCTTAGAGCATCCTCTTTTTTTCTAGTTAATTTTCAGCAGCTAAAATTACTTTGGTAGGACTTGAGGTGCTGTCTATTGATTGTTTCTCTGTCATACTCCTCATTATATTTTGTGACAAACTCCCTAACATTCACCATTTCTTCCTTGGTGCATTGATCCCTTTATTTTTTATTTTGTTTTGGGTAAGCTCCTTGATTTTCAAATATGTTAATATTATGGTCATATATTTCTGGACCATGGCTCTTAAATCCATCGCGAAAATGACAACTACAGACCCTTGAATACTTAGTTGGATCCCTGTCTTCTCTCCTGTGGAAAAAGGACATGGTTATTTATTTTAGACCTGCAACATGAGCATAAAAATGGAAAAATGCTTTGAAGAATGAGGCAAGACTGCTTACTTTTCTGATGCATGATTTCAATTTTGGATAAGTCATACAAAATGGATTTTTTTATTCTCTAAACAAGGGCAAGGGTTAAGTGCAGTTCCTATTTTCAATTCTGAGAAATATTAAGTGGAAAACTAATTAGGCCTATCAATGTTTTCCTTAATGACTGCTGAACCAGCAAAACATTGTGCTACAAGGGCACTTTAAATTGAAAGTAGCTTTGAAAAATGACACGGACGAAAATTGAACAATAGTAGGCCTACACAGTATATGAAGTACATAATTTCATACCTTAACAATCGAACCCAACGTCTGTATTCTGATGACTTTTTCTATTTACTCAGGAAAGCAAAAAATCTACAGGAGTGGGACTCTGACTGGTGCTTGCAGCTTGGAGCAAAACACTGAACCATTGTAGATCTCCGAGGGTAGGCCAGTTATGTGTTCTGTCAAGTTTTCAAATCTAATCAGTCGATGCATAAAGCAAATTCCACTATTTATGACAATAATCCAACCATAATTCAATTCCTTCAACTATCGTGAATAAAATATTTGAGTAAAGATAGTAAATGTGCTACCAGTAGATAATTTGTATACGTTTGTGAACTTTGCGGGTTTGTTTAGAACTGAAAATTCGTTGCCATGCCAACGTGTATTGTATTTCGTCTTTCTACGGGGTCTGAGTGTGAAAATTGGCCACATGACCCCGTAGAGATAAACAGTATTCCGCAGATGCAAAGAAATATGTTTCATGGTCCACAAAGCCCGGCCGCGCTGAGAAAAGGACGCGTATGATACCAGTCTGACTGGAGAATGGATATTTTTCCGACCAATATTATATGTTTTAAAACCCAATCAGAGCAACAATAACAGGTAAATAATATATAATTATATAGTATTCAAGTATTTCATACATGATTTGTCATGTAAAATGTATAAATAGTGAAAAAAAAAAGATTGTGATTATTAGGTCCTTCACCTTTTTACGCATAGCACACGTATTCAGTCCGATTTTAACGTGTTATGGCTCATTTTATAGCTGAATAATAGATCTATTACATGATGCAATAAGAATTTGCAATATTTTCATGTACTTCTTATAAAAGTGACATATATTTTTTACGGTCTTTTTACGGTGTCGAGATAGTGGGCTTCGGAAAATTTACACCAGAAAAAAGTAAGGTTGACTTCCAAAAAATGGTTTCCGCATATTATAGTAGAAGGATAACTCTATTCAAATATGAAATCAGAATGGTTGTTTTTTGGATGTTAGATGAATTTTTAAAAAATTACTGCCACCCTGCCACACTATACGAAAGATTTTGAGAAACTATTACAAAGATTTTGAGAAACTATTACGTGCTGGCAATGTCCACAATACATCGGAATACAGGTAGATGATAGACAATCATGGTTTAGGAAGATTATGCTTCTCCATTTAATTTTTCATACCATAAGGATTATGAAAAGAGAAAAAAAAAAAAAACTTCAACGGCCGTTATTTCGGACATATACTTACATTTTTCAAGAAGTTTTCAGGACGCAAATCATGTACAAAATAAACGTATTATGGATCTTTTTGTAGATAAATAGTGTCTAGGGAATGCTGGGAGCGGTTTTTCGAAAACGTTTTTTTTTTTTTTTTTTTTATTGGACACCTTGGTAAAATGTAAAAAAAAAAAAAGAAAATAGTCGCAATCGAAAAAATTGCTCCCAGCATTCCTTAGATAAAGGATGATTTTGTAAAATATAACAATTAGAATGACTGTGCAGTTTTTTGTGATTTTATTCTATTTTATTTTATTTTTTAAATGGTGAATTTTCAATTTTTTTCGGTGATTTTTTAAACTATAATAAAAAACTGCGCGATTTCGAAAAAAAAAATCTACCACAGAGATCAGGCTAGGGTGTAAATAAAACTTTAATTTATACGCCTGATCTCTGTGGTCGACTTTTATCGAAACCGCCTGAACAGTTTTTTAATTATTGCCAAAAAAGCAAAAAATCTCTGAAGAAAAACATTGAAAATTGACCCAAACAGAGTAGTTATTAAAAAAAAAAAAATGTACAGTCATTCTGATCATTTTATTTTACAGAATCACCCTTTATCTAGTTCTTGTAGGAAGCGGATTTTTCGAATTCGACTTTGTACGCCTTCCCGTGACAGCTCTGGGGTGATACCTGAAGGACGAGGACATGCAGGGGCGGGCGGCCAAGACATGATGTGGACAAGGGTCAGGTGTTGATAAAATGTACCCAATTGTGACTTATTCCCTGTCTTGTGCTCCAGAAGCGAGAGTTTAAGCTAGTTGTGAATTGAGAGTTAACAGAAAATTAAATATAAACAGTTTACAAAAGTTACAAAAATGAAGCATGCTAAGCAGAAACAAAACATGGAACATACTGAGCACAAAAAGAAAAATAGATATGGAGCATGCTAATCGCAAAAAGACAAATAGACATACATAGAAATACACAAATACAACATGAAACATGTAATAAAGTATATATAAAATATCTATTTACATTCTATATTACAGATTTGAAAATACACGGGTTATGGACTTAACCATTATGGGAATGAAAATTTCTGGCGATCTTACCAAGTCCAAGGGTGCGCGGTCTCTTCGTCGCGCGGACACTATGATCTGGAAGGGAGGTCGCGTACTTGTATGACGGGGGTGACTCAATATCGGGCGGACACCACGTCGCGGTGACTGTGTTCCTCGAGTCTGACACTGGGAACAACTGACCTCATGTTTCAGCGTTCCTTTCAGCCGTGTTTCATTTCTGGTTATCTCGCTATATTAAGGATTACACAAGGATTGAAATATAGGCCGGGCCACTCTAGAGAAAAGGCCCAGGCGAAGCTAGACTTCGCAAATCTAACTGAACTGAAATGATTGAAATATCATGCATCATGGAGAACTCGATGGAGCTTCCATTATCACCCTAACCCGAACTTGAGGTTTCATCGTACAAAGGACTGAGTGACGATTAACCTCTACTTTCTCTAGGCAGCGTCCCCTGTCGCATTATAGGCCTATTCAGTCAGAACGGGCAACTGTGAAAGTGTTGGCCAGCATCTCTTTACAAAGGAAAGCGTAGGGGAAGGTGTCACTGGACGGGCTGTGAGAGCAAGTGAGAATGAAACTCGTGTTTCCCGTTTCGGCACAAAAGAATGAATGAGGGTTCGAGTACTAAGGATAGGTTAGAAATGATGAAGTGGTAGCGTAATAAGCTTAAAGATCGTGGCCAAAACTATGTCCGTCTAACCTGGCCGAAAGGGAAAGTCTGAATCTTATGTTGCATAATTAGCAAAGTCTCGTTAAGCGAGAATGAAAGTGATGAATAACAGAAAAGAACAGGACAAAATACGACTGGACACGACAGAGGCATTCTGATGTCAATAGTCAAGCTTAGGCTGTTC